GCATCTGAAGAAAGAAATCATAGCAAATAACCTAGTTCCAAATGAACAATATTGAATGAGAAACTCTCAATGACAAAATGAGCTGAAAGACATATATATTGATAATCAAGTTTTTGTCACCCAAAGAAAAGACTGAAGAGAAGTACTCGCACCAAAACAACACACGATTAGGAGGTAGAGGAGTGGACTGTAGGGAAAAAAAGAGAAACTAACCCATCCAGAGGATTTGATTGAATACTATCGACATCATCCGTGTCGACCAGAACTGTGGCCCGATTGGGTCCAGTCATCATCTGATTTAAGGGCTGATGAAAACTGAGCAACGCTGTCTTTACTCGATGGCTGGTTTTGGCCGAAGAACTGGGGAACGTCAAACCTCGATAAGCGACATAACGCGTCTGTTTGGACGAACAGCCTGTGCCTGATATCCCCGCACGCNAGGAACCAAGTATGGTGCGTGTAGGGCCATTTGGTTGTTGTCTGCGTATGAGCAATGGATCGGTCGAGGGACAGGTCGCGTTCGATTCAGCACCGCAGACGCTCATACCCAAAGCGGAGTCGGACAGACCGGGGGGTGAAGTTACCCGTGAGGTAGAGTAATCACACAATTCTTCTCTGTGCAGATTTACAATCCTGCTTGGCATGGCCTAAGTTGAGAAATCGGAATTTACAGAGAGGTCTAAATTAGCATGGTGAAAAAGGTATAGATTATACAACAAACCATAAAAAACTGTTTTAAAATTTTCTCTGGAAAACAAGTTCCACCGAAATAACAGAAGAAGCCATCAATATGAACTCCAGTTGAAAACTCTATTGTACATAGTCAAGGTTCTGTTCTCACTGTTTGATGTTTTCAATCCAACTCGTGTGTTTACCATGCTCATTAAGGATGATGCGAACCAGATCTGAAGTGCGGTTTTCTCTAACTGAATAGCAGGCGAAAAGTTCAGGTATTCACTGCCAACAGTCCAATCGCTTGGTGGGAACACTGCTTTCACATATAAATCACGTAGTCAATCTTACCTTGTTAACAGTGAGCAAACGTTTGTCGTGGACTGTATTTGACTCGCTTTCGGAGCTTGCCGCTGTGCATTCAGTTACGTGTTCCCATTAATTTTNATTAATTTTGCTTACCGTGGGGGCACAGTGCATCTATAGGACCGTTAGGAGGTTCGTATTGTTCTTCATTTTCAGATTAACAATTACAATGGAAAAAAACAAGGGTACATATCTATCGTGTTATTTCAATAGACACAAACCTCGATTATTCGATCCGCAAGGCAAATCATCTGTTGCGACCCATCATCCTCGGCCAGATTGGTCACACTTGTGTAGAGCGGAGCGGCCGCGAAAACCGGTCGTGTGAATAGGTGTGAGCAACACTGAGCGCGACGAGACCCGGTTGAGCATGCCCGGGTTCGACCAACTTGAGCCAGTTCGTCCTGGTCACCGCTCAATTCATCGAATGAAGATGGATAACCGGGTATGCTGGATGGAGTGGCCGAGTCACGTGAGAATCGCGAACTTGGTCGGATAACCCGAGTCCTTCGTACGGACTGTATGGGATCCGACGGATTGGTCAAAGGTGAGTTAGCTCGAATCGGTTCAAACGACATATCGTTTGCATTCTCATCTTCATCGTCGTCCATGTGATCTTGATCCATTGAGAAACCAGGTCCGGAATTGAATTGCGCCGAGGTGCAACGTTGCTTTGCGCACAGAACATGTCGCGTATTCGGTGACGATGGGGCAGATAACTTTTGTAAATGATACCCACACGTTATGTTTGACGGATGGTAACCGTCTGGATTACGAGCGGTTGAGACCTTTGAGGGCAAATGAATCATCGGGAGAGTAGAAACGCCTCGACGAAGGAATATCGAAGCCGAGGTACCAAGATCTTGGCAACATGATGAGGATGCGTAACTGATTTTAGTCGAGGGTACCTCTTTGTCATTCAAGTTTGACGACCGAATCGGTTGCGAGCTGGAGTAGTCTCTTAGTTGTTTCAAACGATCTGTAACACTGGACGACGTGGGACCAGACTTTCGCAACTCACGCAAGAAGTCCCTGAGTCCGGTTAGATTGAGCGCAATAGCAAGCTGATAAAGAAATGTGAATTAGATAACATGCATAACTGGGGTTTTCTGAAAGCAGTGGATAAAAAAGTATATAAATGTTTGATGTAAAACAAACCAGAAAAGTAAGTGCTACATCACAACTGCAGACAAGTAGTGAATCATCATGAGGAGTACAAGAATAAGAAGAGAGGAAACTAAATATCGAACTACCATAAACGATTTCTCTATGGTTACACGCACAATCGTCAGTCTTTTAAAAACCTCGAATATCGAAATCGGGGGAAACACTTACACTAAACGAATACGAATGGAGTACTTCGATCACATACTTCAAGATAGAATAAAGCCACAACGCTTGGAAAATAGTTTAAAGTATAAAAAGAACGAAACCAGTTGTGATGAAAACAACGTTCGCAGGGGATTGCTTGCATATGATATATATATATATACATATATATATATATACATATATATATATATAGCCTCAGTTTTGTTCGCTTCCATTGCGAAAATAAAAACAATTATCCCATTACTGTCATATAAACTGACTAGATCTGTCGCAGTGGGTTCACTTACACTCCCTCCTAACCAGATGGGCACATCTTCCTAGGAGAATCAGACGGATTGGTGACACAATGCAGACAGTTGCGATTGGAATGAGTAAGTACGTGGGTAAGTGCACTGCTGTAACGTAGCCTCAGTTCATTCGCCTGTCCATCAGAGATTCGTGTACAGGATGCTTTTGAGCGGCTGTTCAATTGAGTGATCTTTGGGCGTCTATCATCAGACGTACCGTGAAATAAAAAGAGAAGGAAGCCTTTGACCTGTACCTCAGTATGATTTCTCGATTTCGGAAAAGGAAGTCTGAGACAAGAATACATAATCCGTTTATTACAAGGAAATAATTTTTGTAAAGATTAAATAAATGGCTAAGATGAGCGGAAATCTCATGCGACCCGAACGGGGAGTAGCAAACAAAAAAAAGCTTACTTGTTCGGGAAGCCAAGATATGGATTCCGACTGATTGGAAACGAAACATGGTTGCTGTAACCCGGAGGGATCCCAAAGAGCTAGCAAGCGAGCAGTCTTCTTGTGGCCGTGCAGTATGGCCCATCCAATGGGGCTAAGGGTGAAACCAGCATAGTAACTGGGTCCAAATGATAGAAAGTCTGCGGACGTGGAAGGGAAGTAACGTTGTAATTACTAATGCAAAGTTGATATAAAAAAACGCACTGCTTAAGTTCACAAAGTGAAATGAACGAGACGGGCAGTTAATCATTTTAAAGCTGATCGCATATCACGAAATGTAAAATTTGCCTCTGAGAGTCTCAGTAGGGTTGGAGATGGATGTCTGAAAAGTTTGCACGTAAGATTCTTATCGACTCCACACATCCGATACAAGCAGACTTAACTTCCTGTTGTTCCCATCCGTCAACTAGATTCCAAAACCATTGTGTTCCTTCCGGCATAAACATATATCGTAACCCTAAAGTAACCTCATTAGCACGTATTCTCGTTAACATGGAACAAGTTTTCACGGACTTTGTCAAAAGTTTAGGGATTTCCCTTGTTCCTTCTTCTTCTTCTTTTCCTCCTTCTCTCCAATTTGTACCACTTCTAAATGAAATACACACACTCTACAGAAGTTACAATTACAATTGCATGGCAAATTAAATGGTGGTCAAACTACGAATTGGCATGAGGATATGAAGATCCTAACCGGGAAACTCCGTCATATAAACCGCATTCGGCTCCCTGGATGGGGACCACGGGATCATCAAACCGGTGGTTGGAGATATTCAGTGATATGACTGTCGGAAACAGTGGCCATAATACATCTACTCAATGCCCTAGCAAACTTGATCCTCGTTCTCTATTCTTAATATGAAAAAATTTGAACATTCCAATCTACCCTTTACTCCGTCATCCAAATGGGCAGTCATTGTTATTACTGTCATGAGACGGCAACCAAAACTGACACACGACGGTGCATGGTTAATGATAGTAAAAAATGAACTGAACTGAGGTGTATTGGGCACCTTGGACGTTTGACCACGTCTAAAGGGAGTGTGATCCGATGAAATGAATACCTGCCCCCAATAGACGGCGATTTATACGTCGCCCAGCGGGCCTAAGGGCCATGATTTAGCTAGTTGAAGGCTATGATTGTGAATTCCCGAATAAATTTTACATGCATTGGCCTAGAAAACCTGGCAATATTTGGCCCACAAGCGAATCATGGAACCTTCTTTTTATAAAGACTATTGTACTATAACTTGCTTGGTGCACAGTCTGAATTCACACGTGTGAAATATATATATGCCATTTTATTACACACATTTTGTGGTGAACAGTAGAAGGGGCGAACCCCATAGTCACGAAGACCTACTGCTCCGTCATGGAAACCGGTAACCTAAGCCCCGGGACTTGGAGTGACGAACCACATAAGGCCTTACTAGGTTAGGCGTGGTATTGAGCCGGAGGACAGAAAAGCTGCCTACCGCCAAAGATGAGTGGCAATGGTGGGGCTCGAACCTCGGACTACAGGATCTAGAGCACGCAGGTAACAGCGAATAAGCAACTGCGCAGCGACCATATATATATGCCATATATATCACAGTAAGTAGCACGGTCGCTGGTATTGGTTCGTGGTGCAGTATTTTTTTAAGACTGGGTTATTTTCAAGGTCATTCTTTTCTGGTTCGGTTGCCATACGAATGATAACATAGAAACCGCTCTTTTGTGCAACCAAATAATCAAGGCATCTCAAGAATCCCTTCCCCTGTGGTTGCTGACCTGATAAGCTGATGCTTTATGGGATCAGATATGGAAGCGACCCCTTGGGAATTCGCAAGACATTCTGAATCAAGGGGATGAAGAAACGAAAGTGGAACTGTCTTCATATCTAGTCGCCTTTTCAACCACTGCACAATATGGTCGGATTGCATTGACACACAAACGTAAAGAAGAGACTTGCAAACCTGAATAATGAAAAACGGTCAACGTACCTTCACAATGTGTGGCGAAAGATGCCGTTCCTGGCTTGTGTCGATCGATCGACATGGTTGTGGATGACAAGAAATCCGGATTTAGTTCATCCATCACAGAGAACACGTACCATTGAATCATTCCTAGCAGAAGTTCGGAGTAGCTAGAAAAGATGAGATGGGCAGTGAAATACGACGAGATGAAAGAAAAAAGCAATTATATATATATATATATATGTGTGAGAGAGAGAGAGGCAAAAACAAAGCTGCTCTAGTCGCAGTGCGTTGGTACAATGGTACTAAACACCCATGCATGGGATCCGGGACGTCAATTCTAGATACCCCAGGGTATATGCGCTATTGCTGAGCACCAATAAGAGACGAACTCGGCTCTGGTGCTATTCAGTTGTATGGTTGACCGAATGAATTGAAAATGTAATCGGAAGCATGGCCGACCGTGATCATTGATAACTTACCCTATACCGCTACTCATAAGTAACTGAGTTAAAGTCAAAAACGAAATGGTATGAACATTCTTGCCCGTTCGCGACTGGGAAAATAACAGTTCACCGTCGCGGTTTTAGCTGCCCAAGAATCCTCTTTAGTGTAGCCAAGTGAAGAACGAACAAAAGGATAGAAATAACAGATAGAGAGATCGAAAATGAGAAAGTCGCACAGGAACCGATTGTGTACAAAATTTAACGGTATCATTCAAGATCTCCAGCCATATACACCGGATGCACTTTGAAGATCCCAGTCTGATGAGATAACACCCATAGGAGTCCGACTCAAAGTGGTGAATTGTATACCGTCCGGTATCGTCACAACTTGGTTGATTTTCACAAAACGCTATTCACGGTGCTCATAATGCACGAGAGAGATTCGTCGCCCCAAAAATAGGAATTTGGTCGGAATGCGACCGCCTGGAGGGGATACGCATGACGAAAGTACACTTTTCGCTAAATAATGCACTCGCTAATGAATTCGATAGTGCGTAAATTTGCTAATGAGGTTCACGAAAAACATCGGTAGCTAGAGAAACTTAGTTTACAGACGCAATTTCTCCGGAGGGACAAAAACTGGAATCACAACGTACACAGAACTGTGCTAAAACTCAGAGCTCTAGGCNGAAGAATTCCAACGGATAGGCTCCCTGGTGCCACGTGACGCAATCGCGATTGGCTATCATATAAAGATGAGGTAAATCATACGCATATAGGAAAAGTTCACAAAATGGTAAACAAACGAGTTCTAACCCCGTGAACTCGCAAAACAGTCCCGAAAAAAACTTAAAATGACACAAAAAATGTTTTGAGGCATACGCACACTGTACGGTCACACTGTCCTGTCAGCTTCCCCGGAAGACTTCCAAGTCTTCTGGGAATCATTGATTTAACGGGGGGTATATTGTTTGAAACATATGAGGAGTCAACACTGGACAAAGATAAGGGAACAGTTACGAATGAAGTAGCTGTAATGTTCGTTCCCAGTCTGTCAGTGTTGTGGGCTGTTGCATTACTACTTGGACAAAGACGTCAACATGCGGAGGAAATAGATCAAATCAATTTCGTGCAAAAAAGCACAATAGCACGTATGCTTACCCTGAACAATATAGCATCACCTTTTTCGATGTGCACAACAACAGCTCACGTACACCAGCATGGGCATAGACAAAGAGTGGAGGCTGGCACATTCACGACTGTGCATGTGCGCCCAAAAGTGCCGTTTGACTATAGAACTAGACAGGCGCGGAAAAAAACAGCGACACTTTTGCAGGTGATCAAGATAGGGGAAACTAGGACAATGAATCGAGTAAATCATCTCCCTTCCAGAAACTATACTTTGCTCCCCTCCCTCCCTCCCTCCCTCCCCTCATCACCCTCGTCTCAGGTTTACCAAGGAGTACAAAATATCGGATTCGATCAAAAATGAACAGTCACATTATTCATCACGCATCTGCATAGCTAGTGAAATTGTGACCGATAGCTAGTGCACCAATCGGTAAACTGGAAACCAAAAGACCAACATCATGGAATTTCAAACTGGGCCAGAATGGGTCGGTAGCACGAAACACATACCCAAGTGCAGCCGCACTGTTCACCGCACTAAGTGCCACGGATTCGGGGATGACGGTATCACTAGTAGCCCTGTCTCCGAGTCCAACAACGTCCGGCAACAGGCGTTGGGCTTCGATTAGCTGTTGTGCACTGAATCGACCGATTCGATCCCGACCTGGGCCAGACTGAGAAGAATTGGCCAAACGCCAAGTGGCCAACTGTTCGCTCAGTAGCCGGTCCAACTGATCCACACAACAACTGGTCCAGGGTTCCATATACGGCTGCATTCGCATTAGTGTCGTGGGAAGGAGCGGGAATGGAACAAAATGGAATAACGAGAAGCATAAAAGATAGTCGATCGCATGTGCGAGCCTCAAGCGCGTGTGAGAGAGATGTAAAAAGAACGTGAAATAATGAACGATTTTATTGGTAGAATTTCATTAGATCATGAGTAAAGAAGTAGGTGGTTGTGAACAGGTAACTCCCACCACTGTGTAGGGGATATATCCAGCTTGAGACTGGATGTGAACATAATTTATAATCTGTTTCTTCCCTCATTTAATCGTTCAGATTCAACCGGGTGTGGGGCTAGATCAGTGGGACTAAAATGCGTGAACAAGCTACTTTGAAGTACCTATTGAGGAGCCTGATCCCTACACAGACAGAAAGACTTTACGAAAAATGACGATTTGGTCTAGGGGCGACGTGCTTCTACTATAGATGAATCCAGCAATTGGGTTATGATAATGGATGGTGCATTAAGTTGAATAAATTTTAATTGAATAAAAGAAGTAACATAACACGAGCAGGATCGATATTGACAACCAATTTCGCGTGCTCTCAATCAGCTTTCTACGTACATAAAATAGGTTGGAATGTTATAAGAACAACACCATATTTACAAAATTACGTTGGTTCCGTACGATGTGCTGTCTCAGTTTGTCCACTGGATGAAACACGTAATACGATGACGGTATGCATCTTATTATGAATTACTCTCCAGGCCTGCACAAATACCGGAGAAAAGAAACAGATCTCACCCTGTTCATGAAATCGCCGCCAGTCGTGGCTGCGGTATTGTCGTCTTTACAGTCTGCCGTTATTTCCGAACAAACGGGATTGGGAGATGAGGCATGTAGTGGTAAAAAACAACACGTCTGTGCGGATTGAAGCGAATCACCGGTAGCATTGACGGGCTCTAATGCCGCAGTAGGACTTTCCGTATCGAATAGCAACAGAAATTCGTCGGTGCTCAGCATGGATTCTCGAATTGCTGTGGCAAACTTGTCGAAATGATGCAGCAGTGTACCTTGTAGACGTGGCACTGATTACCCGGGTAAATGGAACAATTGTGGAGTAACAAAATGCGGTTAGGATGCTGTATCATGTTGAGGGGAGAGTGTGAAAGAGTGGCGTATGCGGTATGTCGAACGATTCGTGATAACAATCGTTCCCCACCAGACGAAGTAGAAGTACCGTCAGAGCTAACTATCCTATCCTATCCTATCCTATCCTATCCTATCCTATCCTATCCTATCCTATCCTATCCTATCCATCTATTTATCTATCTATCCATCTAGTTGCAGATATCCAAAATCGATCGTATTGGTACTGCATCTTTGGCAATCCCTACACAAATACATACGTTTGAAAGTGGACGCATCCATGATTCCTCTGTGTTAAGCATCGCAAAATCTTAGAGTGCCGCTTCTACTTAGGCCGTCTTATCCTTTTCCGTTGACTTGATGAATTTCTATAGAAATGGAGTAACAACAAACTGTTGTTCCTAGATGCCTGCATCACCCGTCGATCAGATGGCTCGGTGCAGCAACTTGAAAAGACCAACACATCCATTTCCGAAGCTCTGTACCACTGAAGGTAAAAAGGAACCTGGTTCGTTGCCCAGCGGATAGGGCAAGAAAGATCTGCACTGAGGACACGCTAGAAGAACAGCTCAGTACTATAAAATCGATCTTTGCACGTAACGGGCATCCGGAGCGTTTAGTCAGCAACATGATTCAGTGCACGTAAAGCTCGATAAGACTTTCTATACATCGAAGCCTCGTGTGTTGTTCACATCCAAGCCATTTCTGTTTGCGACTGAAGGACAAAGTTCCCGGCTCTGCGATCTCGTTTTGAATATACCCATTTCAAGTGAGTAATGGAGAATTCGGTTCAATTTCAAAGGTGTATTTGTCGTGTATAAAGTAAGTGCGGCGTGAAATGAAAAGCTAGGAAGCACTGGACAACTGTTTCAACCTGATTGGGTCTCATCAGCAGTGCGAATCCATCGACGAATACACACATTTGCTTGTTCTTGTGGAACAATATGCACAGGCCGCAAAGTCAAGCGATGGTCCGAACGGATTCGTGAACACCACACTACGTGGCTGAACACCGGAACGATTAAGTCACTCACCAGTGCAGTGGTTTCACACCTAGCTGAAACTAATCACACAGTGAACGTGGCCGAGGCTTTCCGCCATCCCCCTGTATGAAGTTCCGGGGCGATTATGGAGACAGGTTCGAGGTCGGATGCTGAAGCGGTGGGCATTCATAACCCTCCTCTGCGAGCCCAAAAACAATTTTTGCAAGCACTAAAGCTTTCCTGGCCCACCCCATCCCCACCCCCACACACACCGTATCACGAGTAATCTCGATGATCGGATGAGTGGATAGACAACTATGTGATCGTGGTGAATCCAATTTCCGGTCCATTGAAATCGTGTCTAGTAATCTGTTATGTGATGTGATTTTATTTTCCCAAAACAATTTTACTCCTAAGTGGTGACATAATATAATATAATAATAATATAATTTAAGTCTGAAACTGCCGATGTGTTATTCGAAAATAGACTTGAACATAAGCTAATGTCGTCACGGCTGTTTATGTGAAAATCACAGAACCACAGTACACTTTCGATTACTACTTTTATCAATATCTTAAACAACAGCAGTTGAGCTGCTCTCAGATTATCACATCATCTTTGCACATTGATCAACGAATAAAATCGTTCATAAGATTTTCATAGTTTTCGATAATGAGTATTTTCTACCATAATTGTGTGCATTTATAGTAGTACAGATACACGTCACCTACTTCGAAGAGGATGGAAGAGTTAATTCCAAATGGAACAAACACAAAAACTTACGAGGGATACGTAGCTGAGAGAGAATGTGATGCATATTGATCGAGACGGGAGAGGGATCTGAACTATTCAGGAATGTGATTGACGCGACTGAACCGGTGATCTCCTCGTCATATGACAAACTGGCACCGGACGAGGAGATTGGATTCCCCAGTTGTGGACATAACTGTTCGCGGGGAGAGGGTGAGAGCGGAAAGGGAATGAGCTAGGGGTACGAGGTCAACCATATTGAACAACAACCTGTCCAAAGTGACAGAAGAGGAACAAACCCAATGGCAGACCGCATTAAATTATACGATTAGACACACCTTAGATGACATGAAGCGTTTCAAACAATCCAATTCTTACATCGAGAATCGATACACACAGATACAATGAAAACCGGTCGCTTTCATAAAAGCATCTATGAAAGGTAACGAGTACCGGAGTAGAAAAAACCTCGTTGAAAAAATTACAGAATTAAAGTAATACGTGGTACAGGTTGTTGCAACTAGTGTGCCTCCTATTGTTCAAGTTTTCAACAAACCGAATTTTTATCTCACACTTGGGAAGCGACTAAACAAAAACCAGTCCTATGACTTTGATTCATGTGACGAGCATAGGTACTTAAGAATCATTCGTCCGAAACGATGTCATTACGTTAAAACAGAAGGCGAAATGAATCGAAAATTAAAACAAACAGGATAGGGAACAGTGTGTAAACCAGTTTTGAACTAAACAGATGACAGTTATGGATGATCAGTTTACTTTTGCCTCGGTAACAAGTATTGCAGCACTGATCCAAACAAGTCCAATCACCCTAAACTGCAATCTATCCACCTTTTCCGGCTCGTTATTCAAATTCCATCTGTGAAACTCACTTTGAATTTCAAAGGAGATATTCATCGTGTATATGGCAAATGAAGCGAGAACTGAAAGGCTAGGAAGCACTGGACAGCTGCTGTGATTGTTTTCAACCGAGTCGTAACCCTGGAGGCTAATGCTGAGATGAGCGAGGTCCGTGGCCTGCAACATGCTCGCAAAGATCGGTTGTGCTATATCGTTCAAGTGGAAAATGAAAAACGGTCTGATCAGCTGCCCGGTGGCCGAATGGGTAGCAATCCCATGAGGTTTCGGGTTCGATCCCCAGTTGGGTCGATGGATTCGCCCTGCTGATGAGACCCAACCAGGTCGAAACAGCTGCCCAGTGCTTCCTGGCTTTTTAGTTTACGTTTCATTTGCTATATACACGAGTAAATTATCCTTTGAAATTGAATAAAATCCTCCAATAATCACGCAATTCTCAATTTTCCGTGTCAAAATCGGCATCATCAAGATGGACGACATTTTTCAGCCTTCATGCTACTGGAGTTATGCTCACTTCGATCGCTTACTAGGACAATTTGAGGTGGTGACAAGAACCAGAGTCTTAATGTGGCTGCGATAACGGATCGCGTAAGCATCAAAAACAACTTACCAAGGGAAAAGACTGATTGGCGTTATTTCCAACACTCGAGGTTGATGTGTATTCTTGTCGATGGGAATTCTGAACGCCCATGAAGCTAAAACATCAAAAGTAAAAAATAAATAATGAGAGGGTAACGGTGTATGAATCCTTTTCTGTGTGGAGTTGAATCGTACGTGAAATCACCTCATCCAAACCCAGTGAGTGTGCACAATAGTATCAGTTGTGAAAGTTCGTGACAATGGAAGAAGGGAAACGCCCTCGGAAGAAACATAAGGGGTGTAAAACTTGATGCGTTATTCGTATTTATGCATATGGTTGCTATGTTGACCGTAGTGGGAGTGGCTCAGGTTAGGCACATGCAACCGCGAACAGACTACGGTCACACATATGACTCCTCGAGCGCTAAAATCAGTGCGCTCACCGAGAGGAAAGAGATTGTTCACTATTTTCAAGGTCACATAATGACCGAATTCATCGGACGATCGTTACGTGATTGGAGACTCGAAATACATCCGATTAAAAAAAGTTTAAAAAGTACTATACAAAAGTGGGGATACACCGAAAGGGAATTCTCAGTGTGACTGAACAAGTCTTTCCATCCGTGCATGTTGAAGCGACAAGAATATCAAGTTTTAGTTAATTTGATTAAACGAAACGTACGGACTAACACATTAGACGAACGTGGTGATCAATCAATAATCAGTGATAGTCCTCTAAATAATCGGCAAGCGATCGAGTGAGTGTGTGAAACTTTGAGCGAAACCACGTGGGGCCTTGTGCATTACGACACAATCGGTCGAGGTCAAAGGTCATTGCGAACGTCTTAACCAGTTCAAGGCTAGACTATTTTTATCATTTTATTTTTTTCAAACTTAGATAACTTCTATCAGATGACGTCCAAACCACCCTCTTCGTGGCTTTTCTTAAGTTGACGTATTTGACAGTTTCTCGGCATGTGGCAAGTATCCATCAAACAGTAATCAGTCTAGGGGTACCAAAGTAGTGTACCAACCGGGTACCTAGAAATGCGGGAACACTCATGCTCCATGGAACGGTCAAACGGTCACTATGATCAATTAATTTTTAATTAATCTCTGACAACTCTCGACAAAGATGCTTTATTCCATCCATTATTTCAAATAGTTGCCATCACTTTGTTTGTCATTGAATAAAACAAGAATTGCACACTTGATCTCTGTAGTCGATGGATAATGCAATTAGAAAAAAACACCTCAGTAAAGTTCACATGACACAAATTAAGCTATTTAGATTATGATGAACATAATCTTTAAAATAAAACGATACCTTTATCGAAGCCAGACAAAGCATAAATAGGTACATTACTTGAATTTCACGCTATTATGGAACCCATGGACTGGTCTAGCTCGCGGTTGGAGTGATCATAGTGTGCAATATCTCATTTATTTGTACCCACCACAACGGAATGACTACCACAGGCTACTCTGAAGGTAGACTAAGAATGATGACGAATAAAAGAACAGTATCTGTTCACAAAATGTATCAATAACCACAAACTTCCATAGAGGCAGCATTGGGAAACACGTATTATCTTTCCGGAATTTGCAAGTAAAACAGGCCATATTTGATCTGTTATTGCACCTCCGGGTTACATACTATTTCCATTCAGTTTTGGTAAACACCCGGTTATGGAGTGAGTGTACCGAAATTATATCAGAACCTAATAATGTAAGCTTCTCTCAGCTTCCGAGGCTTCACGTAATATTCTTCTAAGAAAGAGAGGGGTAAGTTTCGGCCTATTGTTTCATCTTCAGTATTACTTAAGACTTTTGAGCGTATTATTATCGAGCACCTATCCTCTAATCTTGATTTTCGTGATACCAATCAGTATGTTTATTGTAAGCGTCGCTCTACTTTAGATGCGGTCGCTTGTCTTCTACATTCCGTTTTATCCACTATAGACCAAAAAAACAAAATTGTTCACGTTTGTTTCTTGGACTAAACAAACGTGTTTAACTCAGTTGACAGAAATATCCCGTTGTCACTGTTACGGCAACATAATCTCCCGCGACATCTTCGGAATTGGATGCAAGACTACATTATCGACCGACGCCAATTCACTTGTCCCAATGGTATTAGGACTTCCACCGTTACTGTAAACCAATGCAGGGTGCAATTTTATCCCTTTTCTGTTCTCCTCTTACATCCAAAACTTGCCAATCATCCCAAATGTTTTCACTTTTAAATATGACGATAATATAGTAGTTAGTGTTGCATCTCACAACAACAACCCTTCAATCAGCCATAAGTTCCATTTCTGAATGGTCCGATGGTGTTAACCTTCCTTTAAACCCGAACAAATGGATGGAAGTTTTGTTTTCCACTGACCGTAGGCCATCAACACTTTCTGGATCATCTGTTCCTAATATCTTAATCAATAACTTGAAAGTTGAAGGGTCACAACACTTCAAATATCTTGAACGTTTCGCGTCTGCTGACCTCAAATGGTTCTATCACGTAGAACAAACATTTCTTAAAGTCAGAAAGTTGACCCTTTATATTTCATACCTTCGGCATCTGAGAGTGCCATTGTACAACATCTCTAAATATTTTATGCGTTTTAAGCCGTTGAACCTACTGCTCTCCCGTTATGTTTCCCGGTCTACTGTCTAAAGATTTCATATTAATTAGACGCTCTCTGAAAAGTATCTCTAGATATGGAGCTGTATCTTATGAGGAGCTGGTTGATTCCATTGTCAACCGTAACCTGAAGGCGTGACCGTCTGTGTGATTCTATCCTGTCCGATGCGTCTCATCCTTTACACACAACCCTATCTAGCTCCATTTCAACTTCTGTCACCCGCAATAAATTTAAACCCTCATATAATCGTACCACTGCTTTTCACAACTCCGTTGTACCTTACCTTTCAAGTTAGTTGCTTTCTAGGGAACGAATATCAAACGAAATTATACACAGTCTAATGTAAATTTTCACGCTGAAATTTTCTTTATTTTTTTACGCGTTCTCGATGTCCTATTCATTATCATCTAAGTACTTATTTGTCATATCTTTAAACTCATTTTTAATAGCTCGCATGCCAAAGCAAAAGTGATAACATTCTTTTCACTGAAAATTCTGCCCACATTGGATGAATAAAGTGCACTCTTGACTTGACTCTATATATTCAATAACGATATTGGTAAGTAGGGTGATTTAATCACTTGATTTATGGCTGACTCTCGCGAGTAAGCAGAATAAGAATAATAATAATTACACCTAACGTCGGTAAAAAGGAATACTTACTCCGTCGACTGTTTACCGGGTGATGTAACAGACCGAAACGGGGAATCATATAAATTAGTATGGATGGACTGCAGCCACTGATCCACATTTGTCCTGTCGGTACAGCTCGGGCGTTGGGGTGAATACTGATTATTATTCAGGGCGTTCTCCGACTCGTTGTCCAGAAGAGGTAGCGTGCTGGTGAGCGCCGAATCCGGATCGAATTGAAACCCAGTTTCCGAACTGGGAAATTGAGCGAACTCAGTGGAAAGGTCGGGCAAAAAGTCTGTCCATTGACCCAGTTCAGATTCAGTCCCATCCGGTTCGGTCTCTTCGGTTCCTGTATTTGGATCTCCGTTTAGAGTTGACTCAGGACCGGCAGGGGCGAAAAGACATTGATCAGATAACCAACTAGCCACATCATAGCCTTTATCTCGAGCGAGAGAATGTGTTCCAACGAATCCGAGCCCTGAACCCGAAATGTGAGAAGTCTGAAAGTTGAATGCGGGGAATTGACAACTAGTTAGTAGATGCTTGTTGATTTTCACAGGAGCACTTCAGACAGCTACCTATCCCCGCCGCTTCAGCTGA